GTTATTTCTATCAAATGAACGGGTTATATAATACAGCTCTGTTAATAAAATAACACCATACGACGCTCCCTGTAATCTTTTCCTGCTAATATTGTAAGACACTGGCACAATTACATTGTTTGCGCCGCGTCTCTAGTGTATAAAGATCATAATGTTATTATATTAGTCTGCTACGTTCGCAATTAAAGAAAGCATTATGGACGCCGGGACAAAGGAAAGGAATTACTACTATGTGAATAAAATTACGTTAGTTTGTTAACGCTATGACATATTTTCTTTTATATTATGTAATGAAGAAGTATTTAAAAAATAGTTCCCGAAATCAAACTAGATGTCGCTACGGTATGTTCTTGATTTCTCTACGACAATCTTTCCGGTTTTCTTTCAAGTTTTAAAGTTCTTTTTAACTCAAAATTCTTTTTAATAGTTTGATCATTGATTAATTTAAATCAATGATCAAACTATTAAAAAGAATTTTGAGTTAAATACTAAGTAATCTATTAAGTAATAAAGAAGATGGCGGTACATTGAAATCGGCACGCAAAACACTTCACCAAGGAGGTCATTAAAATATATAAAATTGGACACCACTGATTGACAGTCAGAATAATAATTAAGAAAATCCTTAAGTGCTTTAAAAACTTGACATAAAAATACTGCATTTAGAAAATATTATTCGAAGCGCGTTCAGTTTGTGAGAGTCGATAAGCAACTTTCACAATAGCCGGTTATAGCATTGGTTACCAAAAAATTATTATCTCAAGCTCCTCCGTGCTTCGAAAGGCACGTTATGCTGTTGTTCTATGTCAGTCACGTTATGCTGTGGTAGGCAGTCATTAATCAGTCCTATTTCTAAAAAATAAACAGTCATATTTTTATTATAAATATTAATTATTAAGACTCATTTGTCGTATTTATAGTAATAATATTAACTTTCTATCCTTAAAGAAATCAAAATGACTGACTGTTTTATTGACATTGATTACTCAATAAATTGGCAGGTAAACTAAGTACGTTTCGTTTCATGCAATGCTATTTTGTAAATATATTTTTTTATCTCGCAAATGCTGTCGTTTAAGAAATTTAGTCCCGAAGATTTCAGGACTGTGAAAGGGCCGGGATCCCGGATTTATATCCTCTAGTTATGATACATTCTCCCTATTCGATTCGATTTGATGGTGATTCCAAATTTAATATTTAAAATACAGTAATTGTTAATCCTTCAATAGAAATTAATACAAAACTATGGAGACACGTTTAAAATTTTCAAGGCGGGCCATGACAATGAGATGGAAATTCCGCTGCAACTACTAAAGAAAAGTCAATACAATTTTAGCATACCAAGCTCAGCGGATCGGGGAATTTCAATATTTTATAGGCGATTTAATTTCCTTCGCGTATCATCGTAAATTCTATTAGAATCTTTACTAATTTACCTATACTAATATTATAAAGAGGAAAAATTTTGAATTGTTTGCAAAGAATAAGCTCAGAAACTACTGGACTAATTTTGAGAATTCATTCGCCCACGGAAAGCTACATCAACGCGGGTGACGTGGGCAATAATTTATTATAAATAGAGAATGTTAAAAAATATTTGGAACAGTAGATATTACGAAACGACGTGTACTTTATTATATGGGTTACATACCCCACTAAACCCGTACTCAGAATTTTTAACTATGATCGATATCTGCTTATTAATTTCTTCACTGATAGGTCATCGAAAGGATTAGGTAGCATTATACAGGAAGAACAAACCTTCGAGTCTAGGTGTCACCGGCCGTCGGGTTTCAAGATGGCGGGTTCGATACCCAGTTCAATAGAGAAAATTGCCTTTTCTATATTTTTTTTTTATATACATACATATATATTTTTATGTTATCACAAGTGGGCTCAATGCGGAATGAGAAGTGACTGACTAATTTTGATTAATAACCAACTGAATACAGTATTTCCGACCTCTAAATGTTTTTATCGGACTTTACAATATTTCTTTTTTAACCATTGAGCTACCCGAGACCCAACAGGACTGACGAATTTTTCAAGCACTTGTTACTTTTGCTGATTGTTAGATTTTATTGTTTAGCATTTTGAGTGCAAGATTTGACAAATATCACAATAAAAAGTATATTTTTGATTCAGGTTGGTTGGCTCCGGGCGGAAGACCAAACAGTTTTATCGCTGCACGAGAGAGTTGTTCTCAATACCCGTTACTCTGTCAGCCTGGACTCTCCTAGTACTTGGCAGTTGAGGATAAAGCCTCTAAAAGCAGAAGACAGAGGCTGCTACATGTGTCAGATTAACACACAACCTAATATGAAGTGGCAGATTGGCTGTATTGACGTATATGGTAAGAAATAACGTCTATGTATGTATATCTTTACTCCGTATCGGTAAGACATGGTTCTTATTTCCATCGTTTGCCCTTTCTTACACGCTCGCTTTTATGGCTTCTGTCAGTATGCTGTCAATTTGATCATGAAAGGTGTGTCGTGGCTTTCCTCGGCTTTTACATCCTACTACATCCAATTGGAATATGCTCCGTTGATTCGGACATGAAATAACAATTTTTGTTTAAACCTAGAAATAAATCTTTGCTAAAGAACACAGCAAGGCTAACTATGAGCGAATATAGTGTTTTTTTACTGTATTAAATATTTGAATAACAGATTTGTATCGAAAAGATGATTTATTAGAGTTACAAAAAAGATACAATATCAATGTCAAGCGTTATTTTATGATTTGGCAACCCTGACTGGTAGTTCCACCACATATCAGCCGGCCAGTAATGTGACTATTAAGCGTTATGACCCATTCCAATAGTAAAATAACTTTATTAATATCTCTAAAATAACATATTTCCACATTGGTATGTCACATTGCCTAAAAAGAGGTTTAAAGCATGTATTCTTTGAATTCATTAACTTATTAGGTTAAAGGATAATTAATTTATTTGTGCTTTGAAGATGTTTAATTTCTCCTATAAAGTGTTCTACCGTATATTTGCTAGCATAAGTGCTTGTTAACGGAATTTTGAATTCATTTGAAATTGCGACCGTGTAACATTTCAAGCTAACAAGTTCTAGTTATTTCGTTTCATTATGTAGAATATTTGACGTAGTAAAATGAGACTTATGTTATTTCCCTAGACATAATAACTGTGTGGGTATTACACGAGATACTGGTAATTTTCGTTTGCTTCACACGAATTTATCTAAAAATAAATCAGACTATATTCATGCTATTCAGAAATATCGTGTTTTTAAAAAAAAAAGTAATAATCTTTTACTAGTATTGAGGCACTATACGAAGTAATAAGAGCAAGTCATAAGAATTTTTGATAATTCTATTTTAATATTAGGTTTTTTTAATAAAATTATATTCATATTTTTGTTTTTAAAACTAACAGTCGTTTGTGGCTTACGTCACAATGATATGGTTGCACACTAGTGAGCTAGATTGCGCAGTGGTTAGCACGTTCAGACTGCGATACAGTTGTTAAGCAACTTTAGCAAGGGCCGTTCATAGGATGGGTGACCAAAAATTACTATCCCGAGTTCCTCCGTGCTTCAGAAAACAAGGTAAGCCGTTGGTCCCGGCTGCATCTGAACCTAGTTGATGACACCCACCAATTTGAACTGGGGCCGCGTGGACGGTCATGAGATGGTCCATCTATATATATATAATGAAGATGATATCGTACACCTAGATCTAAACTAAGACAACTCAAAAAACTAATGTGGAGGTCTGACAATACATTTGTTTACGTGGCAGGAGCGCGACCACTGTTGATTAAAAAAAAAAAGCTAAAGTCATCTAGCGGCTCATTCCCGAAACTTTATTGAATCTGTTATGTTGGATAGATGCGTATGATCACCGAGTATTTGAATATTGTACTAAGTCAAAACTCACTCAAATTTTTGAGTTGTTTCAGTTTAGATCTAGGTGTGCGATATAATGATCATATAAATAATGAAGGCCAAGCAGTGATGATGATAATGAGTCAACAACAGAGCTTCTTATTATATTTGGTAAATTTCGCATTCACAATGATATACTGAAAAATATTCTTAATGAAAAATACATAAGAAATCGACTCGGTCCCTAGTTTGAATCCCATCTCAGGGTGCCTGAGACCAAATGGATTTTTTAAGCATTTTAAGAACAGAGCGTCTGTTTACATGTCGGAGTACCTGTGTATACATGTGCGTCAGCTGTCACGCATCAGAAACGCTGACAGAAGACGCCCGTATCGATTCATAAAATTGTCATTTACATCACTTATTAGTTTGATGACAGCTATAACTTAATTTTTGTTGCGCAATTAAAAAACTTATGACGAATATTTAATTGGCAATAGGTAAAATTAAAATTTTGTAATCTATTTATTTCAATATTATTATTAAATACATAATAACGTATCTGTAGACTTTGGAAATAATAGCCAAGGGTAGCCTGGTAGAGATTGCTACTTTAGCAATAAGGCCGCCTTTTGCATTTATGTTCCTAATTATATTTGTTTAACTATATGGTTTACTGGGCAATAAATATTCATTCATTCATTCATAAAAGGCATATAACGATACAATACATAAATTATTATATTTAAAGCTTTTCGTTTTTACAATAATTTTGTTTTTTTATTGTTAAAGTAGCTTCAAGGTTTGAACGAAATAATAGAAGACAATTTATTTATTAAAGTTTAAAGTAGCGTCAATGGTAAGGGCGACATTAAGATACCATAAGAACTTAAGTAAATTACAGAGAAACAAATTTAATTATAAACTTTCCGGAAACGCGTTCAGCTGCGAATATTTTCAAAAGAACTCTTCGAGCCAGACGATGTCACAAAACGCATAATACGTAAAAACATTGAGAAAAGAAAGTAAGTCCATAAGCTTATTAAGGATAGCAACCACCTCAGCTTCTCAACAAAGTTGCGTCGAACTTAGAATAAAAAAAAAACTCAATATCACAATGAAATGTCTCGATCGAAAATGGTGGAAAAGTATTTTCCTTGGAAAAAAATAAATCACCTTACAAAGTTACCGATATTTCTCCGCACCATTGGAGGTATGCGCCAACTTTTATCGCCCACTGTTCAAATTAGTTCAGGGGGTTATTCTTTTTTTTTCCAGCACCAAGTTTTGAAGTATGGATTTCAATATTGAATTTTTACTATGTCTCAGAGGCATGGCAACTTCGTCGCCGTAGGAAAATTTAATACTGAACATTTCAAAGTTTATAAATCGACGCGTGGAATAATGATGAATTACGGAATTGTTTGTGTAGCGTTCGCGTCGAGGGATTACTCTACTTATTTATAATTCCACTACTTTCTGTTGAAATGTTTTTTTATATATCGATTTTATAATTCGAGGAATTTTCTGTGCATATTCTCTAATTTTGTTTTATTTTTATTGAATTTTCTAATCGCAATACAATACAATTTTAATATTCACAAAACATCTGCCTCAGGCAGGTTTCATTCGATTCATCAATCTTTCTCTAGCCCGACGAGTGCTCTTTTTTGTTGACGCACGGGAAAGTGCCTTAAATCAGGTCTAGTCGTGATTGGCCTACCTGGTAAAACTCGCTGCCGAGAACCTTTGTATGAGTGTAATTATCCAAGATCCTGCTTGGTGGATGCTGAACCTACCTAAAAGGTGCTCTTCCTACTGAGCTATCTAACCTCTATCTGTATTTGGACCTGTTCTTTGGTCATATTAGCTACGTGATTCTGTGTTAAATTCATAGTTTGTTTATTTTAACAGTACCACCGGATATCATAAACGATGAAACGTCAACTGATGTGTCAGTGCAGGAGTTGGACAATGTAACATTGTCATGCACGGCCACAGGTCACCCACCACCGAAAATAACATGGAGACGAGAAGACCACGAACTGATGTTGCTTAAGAAAATCGGAGGCAGGGACTTTTATAAAGGTATGAAGAGTTTCTAAATGATGGTTTCTATGATACAAGTGCTTATGCTTGTCAATTATGGTCTGAATATACGAAAACTGCACAGTAATTATATTAATAACTTCTTTCGACATTTAATGAGACTAAGACATTATTGCAGTGCTTCTGAAATAGAACAAAAAGTCGTATCGATTCGTTTAATGCTATTCTGCTAAAGAAAAAGCATCATTCGTGTCCAAAATCGACAGGCCTCTAATTGCTATAAAGGGTCTTGTCGAAAGACGTTGGTTGGATATTGCAACCTGAATGTATCTATTATAATCTTTATATTGTAATAAATACATATTTATAGCAGTCCTTTTTTTATTCATATCTCGCAGTGGAAAGTTACGTAGGCAGCTCACTGCCGCTCTGGCGCGTGGACAGACGGCAGATGGGCGCATATCTCTGCATCGCGTCCAATGACGTTCCGCCTGCAGTCAGCAAGCGGATCATACTTAATGTCAACTGTGAGTATTCGCTTTTCCTGGTAAACATCGACTGTGTCCGTACGCACGCAACGGACTCATGGTCTGCAGTGGATATTCCATATCTTTCTATAAATTTGAGCTCTTGCAGTGGGTACGTTAAAAGGCTGATGATGATGGTGAATAACACTCTATCCAGTACCTGTGTCAGTCACACTGATCGTAAAGAATACCTTGCGTGCTGTTGACGTCATAACGTATTACCTCCATAGATCTACTATACATTGCTTCGCAGCTTTGGGTCAAAGCTGTCAAATGGTATTTCTATTAAAATTCCGGATGTAACAAACATATGAAATCAGCGAAACCGTACAATTTGTTGCGTATCGTGCGTCTGAAGCATGCGGGTGGACACAGTGAACGTCAAAGTAAACTTTAATATATTCAGGGTAGAGGTCATAATTCATTGTAGAAATTTGACATATTATCTATTATTATTGCCAATTTGTAAGGTGCGATAATCTTTAATGTAAACTAAATTTAATGCGATGATATATAAAAATTACTAGACATTGTCGAGTGACTTGAACACAAGTTTTCAAGTGTATATCGGTTCGATTTCAGGCAGGGATCATTCATAAAATGAATTTATTTTTATCATCACGGGTCAGAGTGTTTAGGTACACACGGCTACACGTCAGCTTAAAACAATTTTCAACCTTAAAGCATAGAGCTTAAAATCAACTTGAGTTTAACAGATTTGTATTATCTGACGTAATATTGATTGTAATTCTTTTGTTTAAAATTTTCATAACATAAAGACTTTAGCATTTCCTTCTTCAGATTTGAGTAACGTTAAATGAGTGATGGCTTTTAAGTGATATTATTCTTATTCTTACATTAAATTATTATAAGAAATGTTAATATTGGACTCTTAGAAAAACATATTTTAAAGAGCCAAACATATCCCAAACCTAACATCAGCCATTTTCCCGAAACGTATATTCGTGTAGCTTCGTATATATTTTTAGTTATTTTTTAACAGTCCATTAGTTTCAGAGCCAGTTTAATGCAAATAAATATAAACCTATTTATAATATTATTATAGATTTTATCTACGAACTGAAACTCTCCCGGAAAAATATAATTACGTCATTGCGCTGTCGGATGAGCGATTTATTAATACAATTACGTTTTAGATAACATCAAGTCATCTTTTGATCCTATGTTGATCTTGAAGGCAGTATTTTCCGTCCCTGATTATAAACCAAAATCGAATAAACTAAGCGCCTCTCACCTTTGACGCCAATACAATTAGACGATTACTTCCCTACGTATACCCAATGTTACGGTACAAAGCAAGAGATTATGACTTCGAAATATTTTAAATAAAATAACTGCCATCTCCTTCTCATTGCGCCCAGAAATGTAACATAAAGTGACAGATAATAGCATTTTATAAAATTATACATTCATGTTTTGACTATAACAAAATCATGGAATAAACACTTTTTATAAAAGGTAGAACCGAGTTCATATTTTAAAAAGTCATAAAAATACACTTATCTCAAACGCATTAGATTTAAGAAAATGCTATCGAAGTCGAGCGGAGGTTTTCTGTAGGTAAATGAATAATGATAGGCGCCATAAATTCCAGTAATCTCTATTCATATTTTAAAGAGTAAATATTTGATTGCTTGTTTGTTTGCATCGGATAGGCCCGAAAGTATTGGACTTTTTTTACAAAAGTCTTTTGTCTACGGGAAGCTACATTTTTTTGTTTTTAGCTGAAATGATCCATGTTATAATATATTAATAATTTTAATATTTAGGTGATTTCTGTTGGAATGCATATTTTATTTTGTTATAAAAGGAAAACTACTTATTCGATTTTAATATAATTTAAATGGGACCAATTCGATCCAACAAAATATCGAACAAATAAAGAAGTTTTTAAATCGGTCAGCAATTGTGTGAAATATCGATGACTATACATAAAAAACATACATCGCTGTTGAACGTATAACCTCCTTTTCGATTTTGAAGTCGGTTAAAAATTAGAAAATTATATTATTTCTTAGTACAAATCGAATTGAAAGGCTTAAGTGTATCTACGCGCTCTCTTAAATATAATATATATAAAATATTGATGTAATTTTTTCAATCACCTGAAAATAGTATAAATAAATAATATCGGGCAACATTGTGATATCTAATCAAACTCTGAAATATAAATTTAACGTCCATTCGCTTTTCCTGCCCCACAAGGTTTATAGATATTTAGCGAGAATATATAAGAGATACCTACAAGTTCGGCTGTCATATTTGAAAACCTAGTTAATGTCGAAAGATAAATGCCTTTTATAGGAGAAACACTTAACTGTACTGTAGGCTATTCTTTGATAAAAATTTTCTTGAAAAATATTCTTAATGAATAATGCTTAATAAATACACTTTGTTCCTGGTGCTCTGAGATGGGACTCGAACTCATGACCTTTCGCAATTCGAGCGACTGCTCTAACCACTGAACTACCCAGGACCTAATAGGACTGAAGAATTTTTCAAGCACTTATTAATTCCTAGCTACTAGAGAGCATATTTTCATCAATGTTCAGGCAATACACCTATTATTATTTCTATATTTAATATTTCTTTCGAACAGACGAAAGAAATATTTTTACAAATATATAAAATTTCGATGAAGATAAAAATTTGTTCTAAATATTATATTTGTTTAATTTTGCATTCAAAATGCTATACTGAACAATATTCTTAATGAAAAACGCTAATCAAATATCCACTTTGTCTGCAAATTAAATATCATATTATAAAAACGCATACATTATTAATTTATCTTCCAATCCAGCCTGTTCCTTGCACCCACCCCTAAAGTCGTGATAAAGCTAAATTGATCTCCCTCTTGTAAGCCGCCCTTGCGAATAATTGACTCTTCCCTGTCATTGCTTCCTAGATCCCTATAGCTGATATAGATATCTCATATACTGGAATACTTCAGTGGTTACCCAGATATCAAGGGAATACGCATAAAAGATCCCTTGTTTATGATTATGGAAGTTTATAAAGAGCCTTTATTTTCATCGTACAGGTGAGTCTTCAATATAAATGAATTTAAATATGGTTTTTCATAATTATATTGTTAAGCCTATTTTGCAATTTAAATTGTTTCTTGTTAGATAGACATAATAAAGGGAATGTTAAATTCGCAAGAGAGTTAAACAAAACAAAATAAGCAAGCGGATATTTTGCATTAGACTACTTCAACAACATATCCATCAATTCACTTGCTCCTTGGGATTTCGAAATCAATTATACGCAAACAAAAGAAACTCGAACGTAGTTCAGCCAAGAGTGTAGAGTGAATTTCATGGCCCATCGATTCCTGGATATTGAGCCCCGGCTGTGGGATCAATCCTAGTTTATCAGGACATTGGCTTTAGCATTCTAACCGCGAAGCAAATCTCACCAATCGGCCAATTTCATTGGAAATCCTTCCGAACATTTGCACTGAATGTTCAAATTTAATGCATCGTATCGTTTTTTGATAGTATCCGTGATCGTGGTCTGTTAATATGGATGAATTTCGGTCTTTTTGCCACAATAATCGTTATCGGGAAGGCAGAGTTGGGGCTATTGGCGGAATTTCCACTAATGAAATTGAATGAAATCGTGAAATGTATCTCTGATAGATATTTTAAAGCTTCAGCTATCATCAAGATTGAGTTCCAATTTTGATAATTACTTGCAGATATTGACTTTGAAGAGCTTTAATTCATACTTTAGTAATTTCAGATATTAAATTTGAAGCGATATCTCTAGCAGATGCCTGAATGATATTTTAATTAATATGAATGGAAATCATTGAAATTAATATTGTAATTACTGTAAATTATAGTAATGTTATTATTTAAAACCTATTTAAATTCTAATTATTTCTGGTTCGTCATATAATTATACATAATAAAACATTTTATCACATATATTGTGATAAAATGTTTTATTTTATAGTTTTTTATACGTTTTTCTTTTACTTTCTATTATTTTATAGTTTAAGTTATCGGCAATCGTGTCATAATGCTTACTACTATAAAACAGTATCAATCTATCAGCTTTTCTATAATATATTATCGGTGGAATCATGTAATATAATATGTAAGAAAAATATTAAAGATTTTATGAGTTTATGAATGATATAGTCAAAAACTTCTACAGTAATAATAATAGTGTTATTTTTTTTCAGTTGCTCCATCAGTAATAGTGCCAAACCAACTTCTCGGAGCGCCACTGGGAACAGACGTGGTGCTTGAATGTACAGTGGAGGCTTACCCTAACACTATCAATTATTGGGTCAAAAACAGAGGTGAAATGCTTCTAGACGGGTGAGTGATGACAATAAAGCTATTTAAATAGATCATTATAAAATTAAGTTAAGGAAGTTCGTTAATTTTTCTTCAAAGACTGTAATTACTTTTGCTTCAATTCGGTCAAAATTAGATTCAATCAAAAGGAAATCATCGCTAAGGTTGAATCACATGCCATTACCATTCAATACAGTACTGAATTAAGAATCTGTTTTCATTGTCTCCAATGTCAACCTAATCAAAGCCACTTTAAATTGCTATCTATCTATCTATAATATATAAAACTTAATTACCACTCACTGACTCACTGACTCACTCCATGCTTTTTTCGGGTAGAAAGAGGGGGAAAATGACGTTTTCATGTATGGAGACTGATAATATTTTTTTAAAATGAGTTGAAATGGCATATCGGTTCAGCCAAAAAACAAAATGGCGGCGAGATAATTTTTTTAATTTCTACATTATACACTCTATGATTACGATATTCAAAATGGTCGTAGAGTGGGCTAAAAAAATGACACTGGAAAAAGGTTTGATTAAAAAAACAAAATGGCGGCCGAGATATTTCACCTGGAAATTTGGCATTTTTCGACCTCTGTTCGGGCAATCGTCGTTTCTTTTGTGGTGGGTTTGGAGGGGGGATTTTTACGCCAGCGAGTTGGAATTATAATCGATTTTCACGTACGGGGAGTTTTCGCTTGCGAGTCAATATGGCGGCGACGGTGGCGGCCATTTTGTTTTGGCAATGAAAAATCGCCATTTTCCAGTGAGATTTTCTCCAAGATGGCGGCGTCGGACGGGTTCGCGTCGTATGGGGTGGTCGTGGGGCTCTCTGCTAACTTTTTAAGTTGGTTATAATTTCTACCATTTTCGTGGTAGTTTAGGAGATTTTGGGAGAAAAGTGAAATTTCGAAATACGCACTTTTCGCGGAAAACAGACTAGGTGCGGTGTGGTGCCGGGGGGCCCTATGACTTTTGGTAGTTTTCGTTTCCGCGAGCTGACAACCCTGGGCTCCACGGTAGAAAACGTGTTTTTCGACATGCCCTCATAACCCGAATTGTTTGGGAACCTGGGTGGCCAGTGGAGAAAATCTGTGAATGAGGTCCCTTGCCTGATATAGTCGTGACTATGGGAAAATTATGAAACTCGGCAAAATCAATATGGCGGCGCCGGCAGCGGCCATTTTGTGATTTTTTCACTTTTTCGAAAAATTCAAACGCACTTTTAGCCTACATGGCAACATCGGAGCTCTTCGCCTTGTATCGACCGGTCGTGAGTCTCCGCTGGCTCTTTCGAATGACGTGAATGTTTTCCCCGATTTTAGGGTAATTTCGGAGATTTACCCCAAAAAGGTGAAAAGTAGAAGGAGCCGTTTAAGAATTTTAAAAATGCTTTTCCTCGAAGGAGGGTACTCCCCGAAATGACATTTGGCCTTTTTCATCGTCGTCACCTGGCAACCCCAGCGGTTGCGGCGATTTGAAAAATTTTGCCCATTTTTTACTTTGTCGACTCTAGCGCGGTCAGTATTGCCACTAGGAAAATGGTAAAAACTGCATCGGATGCGCTATTGAGTTGGCCACACCGGTACGGAGCCGGATTTTCAAAATTCAAGATGGCGGTCAAACCAGCGGCCGTTTTATCCGGAAAATTGGGTATCGTCACCGCATCGAGCCGATTTTGACGCACTTGGCGACATTTGTCGGAGTACTTCCGGGGAAACATTTTTTAGGCAAGTAACTAAAGTGTTGCCTGATGAAAAAAAAATTCGAAAATTTCTGATACTTTATGAGATTTTTGAGGAAACAATTTTTGTCGAAATTTTGAACTTTTTTGATTCAAATATTTTAATTTTAACTTTTCAAGATACCCGATGGAAAAATTAGAACGATCGACTGGCAACACTGAGAGCAAACAACGTTTAAAATTCAACCTCGATTTTGACCGACTTGGCAACCCCGAAGGTATTTGGCATGTATGGAGCGATTGTGCATCTCTATAGACTCTTTCATATGGTGGAAAAAAATTACCCGATTTTAGGGAATTTTTTGAGATTTACCCCAAAAACTCTAACTGTCAAAGAAATAATTTTAGAACTTGAAAACTGGTATCGGTTGATGAAGGGCGCACCCCGAAATGACATTTGACTATTTTCATCGCCTACACCTGGCAACCCCGGCAGCTACGGCGGTTTGAAAGTTCAATGCCCACTATTCACGTTTTGGACTCTAGCGCAGTCATTATAGCCGCTAGGAAAATAGTAAAAACTGCGTTGGATGCGCTAATAGGTGGGCTATATAGATCTGAGATTGAAATTTCAAAATTCAAGATGGCGGATTAAATAGCGACCATTTTATCTAGAAAATTGATCTTTTTTCACGACTTTCACTCTATAGAGCTGATTTTGGCGTTTTTGGTAACATTTTTAAGAATACTTTTGACAAAAATATGTATTCAGCTGAAGTGTTGCCAGATGAAAAAAAGACTGTAAAATTTTTGATACCGAGATTTTTGCGAAACTTTCATGTATGTCATTGATGAAAAATATTAAAATATTTTTTTACAATGATTTTACTGTTTAGTAAAATTTTTACTGTTGCATTTATAACATAATTGATGGAATAATTTGAGTTCTACACTGATAGTAGTCACCATATTAATTTCAGAATGATTCTGACTGAGCTGGCGACTCAGAAGCTTTGCATATATAGACCGTTAGCCATAGACTCAAGACTCAATCTTAACGTGGTGAGAAAAAAAAATCCAATAGTTTCACAAGAAAAATAAAGCGAGCGAGACATTGTCATTCGGTTAGATTAGAACTGTGACTAAAACAAAAAGCGAGCGAAGCGAGCCATAAAGAGTGACCAATTAGAGAGATTTGATTAATTGGTAAGGTTAGAACGGTGACTAAAATAAAATGCGAGCGAAGCGAGCCATAAACAACACCACCAATAGAAATCTGATCAATCAGTTAGATGAGAACTGTGAATTAAACAAAAAGCGAGCGAAGCGAGCCATAAAGAGTAACCATTTAGAGAGATTTGATTAATTGGTAAGGTTAGAACTGTGACTAAAATAAAATGCGAGCGAAGCGAGCCATAAACAACACCACCAATAGAAATCTGATCAATCAGTTAGATTAGAACTGTCAATAAAACAAAAAGCGAGCGAAGCGAGCCATAATAAATGGAGACCTGGTCAATTGCTTAAGGTACTGTTACCAAAATAAAGAGCGAGCGAAGCGAGCCATAATTGATTATTTTAGCACTGGTTCTAAAACAAAAAGCGAGCGAAGCGAGCCATAAGGAGTAACTGTTAAGAGAGATTTGGTTAATTGGTAGGGTTAGAACTATGACTAAAATAAAATGCGAGCGAAGCGAGCCACAAAAGACACCATCAATAGAGACCTGGTCAATCGGTTAGATTAGAACTGAGAAAAAAACAAAAAGAAAAAGCGAGCGAAGCGAGCCATAATAAATGGAGACCTGGTCAATCGGATAAGGAACTGTGACCAATTGTGCTTACAAGTGTGCTATTTAGGTCTGAGGCTGAAATTTTAAAATTCTAGATGGCGGCTAAGACAGCGACCATTTTATCTAGAAAACATATCATTTTTCACGGTTTTTACTTTATAGAGCTGATTTTGGCGTTATTCATAACATTTTTCAGATTAGTTGCCGGATGATAAAAAACAGTGTTTTTTTGATACTGTGATTTTTAGGAAATTTTCTATTGAATAAGAATAAAAGACTACAAGGCGATGTATACAACATTTATTTTTAAGTTTTCTTACGTTTTTCAACTGAATATTTCTTTTAATATTGCGTGTAAACTGGCAATCTTTTTTATTGTGTAAGATGTTTTGCGTAATTAAAGATATTTTATTTGAAGATAGAACTTACTAACTTTTTCTAGGCAATTTTATACTGTAAACATAACTAGAGGCGGACCTCAAATCCCACCGCTCCGATTCCACAAGCGACTCGTTTATGCTCAAGAATTTTACAATAAGTAAAGCAACAAAAACTTGTATAGGTTTATTATGACGTATGGGTTAGGTTAGGTTAGTGTATGAAAAACGTAGTGTGTAGGTTAGGTTAGTGTACGAATCGCTTTTGTTGATGGTAACATTTGGTTTATAATGTTTAAAAGATGATCGTGACCATTTTAAGTTCAATTTTGATTTTGATGGACTTGACAATTCGGGATCTTTATAGCGTGTATATATGGACCCATTTGTGTAGGTATCTTTACCCACACTTTCACATAGGTAAGTATGGAGAAAAGAAATAAAATATATTTCTCTATACTTTTAGATTATTGAGAAAACATGTCCTTTTGATATTCAAAATGAAAGTGTTCTACGTAGGTATGAGTTTGAAATTTGACATTTATTTGGTGTATTATTTAAGGTAACACTGGGGGAAATATCTATTCGATCCATTTTCATATTTTATTAAATATAAACTTACTATTGAATAAGAATAAGAGACTATAATTTATTTAGAGTTTTGCTTGCGTTTTTCGACTGAATATTTCTTTTTCTGTTAAGCGTAAACTGGCAACCCTTTTTCTTTGATGAATGGTGCTTAAACACCTTTCATTTGAAGACAGAACTTACTAACTTTTTGTAGGCGATTTCAAACTATAAAACAAACTTAACAAATAAAAACCGAAAAACACAAATTCCACAACGAAGGCGGACTTAAAACCCCACCGCCCCGATTCCACCAGCTACTCGTGACTTGCCCGGGCTGCACGCAGCCCGGGGCAACCAAGCGAAAGCTTCTATTCTGAAACGAAGGCGGACTTAAAACCCCATCGCATCGTGAATTGATCTATTCTAATATCTGGGCACGACATCGGTTCCCTTTTCATATAATAAATAAATCTTACATAAATAATGTAATGTAATAATAATGCCAATACAATAAATACTATTTCTTCACATTTAATCGATTAATTAATGATAGTAACACTGATGGAAATATATGTTCGATTGTTTTTTAACACTATACAGTAATTTACTAATAAATAAGAATAAGAGAATAAAAGACAAAACTTATTTTAAGTATCTATACAAAATTTATTTTAAATTTTGCTTGCGTTTTTCGACTGAATATTTCTTTTTCTATTAAGTGTCAACTGGCAACACTTTTTCTTTGGTGTATGGTGCTTTGTGTCCTTTAACACCTTTTATTTGAAGATAGAACTTACTGACCTTTTCTACGCAATTTCAAACTGTAAACCCGACATAACAATAGGCGGACTTACAACCCCACCGCCCCGATTCCACTAGCTACTCGTAACCTCCCCGGTTGCCCCGGGCTGCGAGCAGCCCGGGGCAACCAAGCGAAAGCTAGTTTAATGATATTCTTAGTTTTACAATAATAGTCATAGAGAAACATAGTACGGTACATCGTAGCGAGATATTATCTCGCTACGATGTACCGTATATATAAATCGATATTTAAAGCAATTCCAAAGGTGTTGGTTGGTCATAATAAAAAAAAATATATAAAAAGAACCAGGTCACCTAAATAACCAAATTGTAATTTGTATAAATTATAAAAATAAATATATAATGTATTTTTAATTTAACACGATCCCTTTTTAGGCCAAAATACACCATCACAGAGGAAAGATCGTCTTACAAGGATCTAATGAAGCTGACCATTAGACAATTTTCCAAAAATGACATTGGGACGTACAACTGCGTCAGCACTAATTCCCTCGGGAAGAGTGAAGGGACACTCAGACTTTATGGTGAGTATTACATTTATTATAATTGCTTGTTATTGTAGTTATCATATCTTTTTTAAATATTTTTACGTTCTTATTTAATATATGTTATAAAACCTTTATTTAAGTAACTTTATTATAAGTTTGGTATATTAATCAGGGATTATTAGAAAATTATAATGTTTCAACTTTAAAACGCCAACAATTTTTTTTGCATTGTTATATAAATATTTCATCAATTATTATTGATTATATATTTACAGAAATCAAGCTATACCCAAGCTCACAGTCAGCCGCAGAAGTGAATATAGGCGGTGAGTAATTAAGATCTCAACCCTTAGAATGACGAGTAAACTCAATTATGAATGCGCTGGAATACAACCATCAAATCAACTAACAATTCTGTTATATGATGTGGAACGTTTAGTGGAATAGTTTTAACCATAGACTTAGAAAAAAGATAGAGGAACATAGATGTTTCATAATAAGATAAATAGACAAAAAGTATATTAGAACGTTGATGCTATCTTTACAAATGAAATTATTATCTCAACAATAATATTTAAGTTCTGATTGAACTCAAAGCAGTTTTTATGTCAAAGAATTTTGCAATGATCCCGATTTTTTCAAAATGTATTTTACATCAAGCAGCATTTATCTGCAGACTCTTCATAGAATCTCCGAATGCCTACATAAATTGGTTTCTCTCGCTTGCAGATTCATCTACAGAAAATTTTATCAAGATCGATAAACCGTTTTCGAATTAAAGCTTCTCTAAATCTTATCGCCTTCCGATTTCGATACACAATCAAATGTAAATAAAAGTTCCTCACCCTTTTAAGTCTACGGTCCTGAAATACCGGCTGAGATGACGCATACGAAATGTATCCCTTTCTATAAAGTGTCATTAAGAGTTAGTGGAAGGAAATTATTTATTATAGATAAAATATAATTAGAAAACTTCTGCCATACATAAATTATTTTATAATGGGGGATTAAATTACAATTAGAATCTTTACTTTGGAATTTTTATGGTCACGAGCTAGCAAGTCTCATCATGACTACCAGTGAAAAATATTTTTCAACCTATCAAGTTGCAATATTACTACTCGTATGAAGATATTTCACTTTTACTAAAGTCATTTAGAAATACGTCCCAAAGTTGTTTTAGAAATGCACCTACTAAATATTACTGAATTTTTGCCATTACTAAGTATATCCGATTAAGTTTAATAATTTCACTTTATCATTTGATAAATTGAATGATTGAATCAAAATATCGTAAAATAAAATTCTGTGTTTGATACGGATATTTGAAATGGTTAAGGATCTAAAATAATTCAAGAATCTTTAACATTGGAAGAGACTTGCGTGAATATATTATTGGGTATACAAACAATTAACCAAATCCGCCTAGCTGATTAATTAATGCTCCACATTGATTTCCCATTTACTGAAGGCGAACAAGGTTGTAAACAAAATTAGTATAATTAATTTGAATCCATTTAAAATTCATGCGAACTTCATTTTGGAGCTCTTTTTGCGTGGGACGGGTTGTTCCGTTTTAATTATCGTTATCTTTATTCAAAGTGTAGATGTCCTTTTTTTATGGTATTACATATAATAATTATAATATCTACGTCATTTACTTACTTTACTGACACTTAATTCCCAAAAGTAAACAACATTAAAGTAAATAATTGTTTTTGATAGTCCATATTATTTGGTTGCTTTGTTCCAGGTTTAACAGAAGGGGCAATCAAGCAAAAGACTTCGTACAGCAGTTCATGTATATTAATTCCTGTGTATTTTAGAATCCAGTTGCTCGTTCATGTTGTATTATATCTCCGATAAAATTTTACTTATAATGACTAGAAAATAAATTTAGCTATAAAGGTTGGGTTACATGTTTTTAAATACAACAATATATAATTTGTTGTGTCTAATTCCTACTAATGAATTGGATATATAAGTAGAAAAACAGAAAAAACGGCAAAAACCAAGTATAATAATTGACGCCAGACAACTGCTTTCCTCATTACGTTAGGTTTTTCAGACGTTTTATAAGCAATATAATTTCACAGAAAGAACGTGAAAGTTATAAGTGACCCAACCCAAAATATCGAAAACAAAGACTGTAAATAATAATTTGTACCTAGTTATATTTTCAAATGAAGTGAACGTTGAATTGTTAATCAAAATAATATTCTAGGCTTTTGAAGTTTTCAACGAAGTTGCTCAATATTATAAAACTAATAAACAAAACTAATTATTAAATAATTTATTGTGCTAACTGTTAACAATCATAAATAAGCATTATTGATAAATACATAATTTAATGTGAAACTCTGTAAAACAAGTACTACTTATTTCATACGTCATAATTCATCGGTATCCGAATAATCTAAACTAAGCTGCTATTAGAGCCTGATTTTAACATTATTAATTATAATTCGATTTAAGTTATGTCAGCTCTACACAACCTGCCATGATGTAACTAGACGATCACAGACTTATAAAGGTATAGGCTTAACTGCCCATGATCAAGGTCAATAGCCGCTATATCAGTTTTTCTGACATCAAAATAAGTACAGCCAGGATTGTAAGCGAGTCCACTGAGTTTGTAACTGTTTGCGGTATAGGGTAGACATATGTACCTTACTTTAAAGAATATGGGACGATTCAAAAGTACTTTAAATTAGTTTATTTTAATAAGATATTTTGACTCTAAGTTCGGTAAATCAGTATCCTGTTTTGTAGCCAAATTTTTTTCAAAAAAATATTCAATGTCGGTAATAAACGTGCGAACAAAATTATCAAATTCTCCAGAAGCTTCGAATAAAACTACTTTAAAAAAAAAAGAAAACGATTCAGCGAGTAAGTACAAGTACCTTTTATAAAATAAACAATAAGGTAAAGATATTGGGAAATAAAATATTATCCATATCGTACCTCTACAATTACAATTAACAAATGTAGGATACTGGGCTAGATTAATGGACAGCTACGTAATCATCGTGGCAATCAGTGAATCGTCCATTATGACCAATAGCGTAGGTCTGTAAAGAATTAACGACGTTTTTATCTCAACACGAAATAAAACCATTCCTATTTTTTCTGTTACATAAAAAAAAAGAAATTGAATTTGTAAATTGTGCTGTCAATAGCAGTGGTTGGTTTAGCATTGCTATTGACATCAATTTTTAAAAGGATTATGGAAGAAAGTTTTATAGTATAATATTGATTTTAGAAGTCTTTTTTTATTAAATTGTTAATAGGCTCTGTCAAAAATTGGATTCAAATTTTTATTGGAACTGCGTCACCGTTTTGCTAAATAAAGTAACGGTAGTTATATAATGCACGTTGTGGTACCACGTGAAAGTTGATGATAAATTTTATTTATTCAATCTATAGTCTTTATAACATTTACTAGATACGCGAAGAGGGCTAATACAAACATTAACTTCCTAAATATTATGAAACCGATGACGCGGGGACAAAGCAGACTAGATATAAACGCCGCTTAGATCCACTTGTTTCTAATAGGTAAAAAGGAGAATAACCTCATAGTTTTGGTTCTATTTTGTGGTTTGTATTTACACTAAATTACATGAAACTTTTTCTTTTTCTTCTTTATGTTTTTGTCTATTTTGAGAATTACATTGAGTGTAAACTGTCATTTCATAAATTCTATCACGGAATCGTATATTTATAGCTGACTAGAAAATAAATAAGAAGACATTATCAAGATAATGCTTTGCCTAAGGAATTGATAATTATTATTATATTTTCGGAAACTGATAAAGCATTCTTATTAAACATAAATTTGTTTTTTTCTCATCCGTAACCGGTAACATAACAATGAATTATTTTTATGTATCCAATTGTAACATGAAGCCATTCTGTGAGAAAGAAAAAAGTAAATCTAGTGCAATTTATTGCTCTTTTATGAATGAAACGGGCACACGCTTCTGTCATATTAAACGTGTAATGTAAGAAATGTTTTGGAACTCTCAAAATCCTTATGGGTTTATTAATAAGATGCCAAAGCCAATTAATACAGAAAGCTTAAAATAATGAGATTTAATTGTTAACTAATGATTTACGACTTAATTTTTAATTTGAAAATTCTCGAGTTTGTATCTGTTTTTAATTGAACGTTGTATATATATAAAGTGTACTTTTAATTTGACGTTAAAAAAACATTTTAATATCAGTGTCACTTCGAAGTTTTTGAGTTGAATAATATTGTTACCTTATTGTTAAGTTTTTGTATATTTTAAATGTTAATCCAAAATGACCGTTTTGTTATCAATGAAAATGAATACTGTACATAATATAATTCAATTTGGCATGATATATATGTATGAAATTGAGCTGAATTGTTGTAACATTTAATAACACAAATATTGTCAAGTGAACAAAATCAAAATAACTCGACAATTTTTTTAAAATTTAATATCTGAAAAAGTCTTATAAATAAAGATGGGTTGTATTGTAAAGCTGAGAGAATGGTAAAATAGAATAGCTTATTAAAATTATTAATATGATTTGTGTTAATGCTGTTTTGTATGAAGTGTTACTCGTATAAGCGAAAATATAATTTGGATTTGTAATAAATAAGGTTCTTTTATTAACTGTTGTTTTATTGATTGTTTAACCTCATATAGTTGTATAAGACCAGCTGTGAAGAATATTCTCTAGAAGGGGGAAGGGTCTGGCATGGACTCTGGGCTCTACCTCAGGGTCTAACAATACCAAGATGGGTCTTGAGTCGGGTGAAGCAACGCGATAGAAAAAGAAACCTAACAAATTGCATTAAAAAAAAACAGACGGAAATTGACAGGATTCCTTTTTGTGCATAATGTTCTGATTCCTAATATATTTTGGCATAATTGTTTTTGGCATACAGTTACCTTTTTGGTCATTTTTGTATAACTTTAACTTGCATTATTTTACTAGACGATCAACATGTGACCAAAACAAAAAGCGAAAAGAGCGAATTAAGCCAGCGTGCCGCAGCAGCAGCCAGCAACCGCTATATATGAGTTTAAAAAATGCTTTTAGAAGTTCTACTAAATTATTATTATGATTAGAAAAAAGCGTAAATATAATCAAGACAAACAAAAGTGTGCCATTTAATGGCTCAACATTTTATGCAAATGACTAGGGAACCTATATTTACTGTTACACAAAAGCTGAAAATGTGATCAAATAATGACTAATATCTTTAATTAAACAATCGAATTAAATTTTAACAGAAATAAGCCGCGAGATGCGTAATATGGAAACCAATAATCAGCGGTGGGACATTTAATTGGA